ACCCCTAACGGGATAAAACGGGATAGATTTAACGTAGTTATAATATTATTATGATATATTTCTTATATTGACGCGCAAATTGTTGACCATAACCATAACCACATGACCTTTTACATCTTTATTATTGTTACTTTGTAGTTATAAATAAAAAGATTAAACTAACCGGATTGGATAATCCTAGTTAAACGCAGTAATATTCCATCGATATTAAACTGCGTCATGTAACATAAATAGTATAATAACAAAAAATCTTGGTCTTCTACGAAATGTTTTGAGCAATTTTACATAGCGTCATCTAGTCCCAAACTAAGCAAAGCTTTTAAATAAACTCGAAAAAATCGACTTAGATTTTTTATCATGTAATATGAATTACCTGAATTCCACATTTACCTATGTTTTACAAATAAATGATTTGATTGATTGATTGATTGAATGAAATAATGCCCGTATTCCCCTTCAATACCAAATTTTTAAGTGACCCTATGGTACCAACACATAACAGGAATTGTTTTCAAAGGGGTCACTTAAAAATTAGGGATTGATGGTAAAAACGGGCATTAATGCAAGAAATTTTTAATTATTAAGCAAAGCTTGTACAGCCAGCATCTAATAGTACCTACCTACCTACGTGACACCCAAAGTGGCCAAAAAGCACATACGTGTTGCGAACTTTTTGGCTGCTTTGGATGTTCCGATTTTTTCAACTTTGTACCATCGGCAACAGTGTTAACTATACATTGCCTGTCATGTCGTCTTGTTCTATCGCAAAGAATCACCATTTGATGAGAGCGAGAGCAAAAACGGAAATGGATAGTTAACAGTGTGGCCGTGTGTACTAACTAAAGGTACCAGCAACGCAATATAAACGAATTGAAATACTTTTTTATACACACTACACAACAGTTGATAAATTAAAAGACAGTCTTATCGCCAGTAAGCGATCTATAAGCAGTTTTTTAAATAAAAATAATATTCTATTTAACTCCAAAATGTTAATATTATTTATTTAATTTACATATAATCTTAAATGTTCTTGACAACAGTCCTACAAGTTAGTCGGTGGTATGTAAATAACACCATGATTGTATGTAATTGACATACCTACTAAAATGTATTTTTTCCTGCTTCCTAGTAAATCATTGTAAATCATAAATTTTATACATAATACTACGCAATCTAGGTAATTATTACATAGTCATGAACTTCTATAATGTTTTTAAATGCAACTATGTAGTCAGCGTCAAATGGTTCGTGACACCCAAAGTAGCCAAAAAGTTCGCAACACGTCTTTGTTACAATGAGGGCTATCGTTTTTATACTTAACAGTTGGCACCCCTGGCGATTGACAGGACCTTACTCTACAGTGGCGCCATCATGATGAGTGCAAATGCGATAGTCCTCCTACCACTTTAGCGCTCACCAGTTGGTGCCACTGTCTTCGCTACTAGCAAGTGACAGGACCTTACTCTACAGTGGCGCTAACTGGTGAGCGCTGAAACGATAGCCCTCATTGGAAAAAGGTTGTGTTGTCAACTTTTTGGCCACTTTGGGTGTCACGAAATATTTGACACTGACTGTGCCTACATAATTTTTTCTGCCTCGAGAAAGATAAACGTGAAATATCCAAGCTATTTTTCTTCTGTAAACGCTACAACATTGCTTCAAAATTTTTTCCTTCTTGCTCTTGCTCTAGATTTGGTCCTTCTCATCTATTTTATAGGTCTAGCGCTTATCTCAGTCTGTGCCTGAGGTATGGGAGCGGCACGGGAGGGGTGACATTGACATTATGACGTGACAGCAGGGCATACAAATCTGAAGTCTCGCTGACGTTTGACCGTCACAAAATCACCCTCACAGGCACTGACTGAGTTTTTAAAAAAGTAAGTAAGACCTGTAGTTCTAAAACCAAACTCTTAATTCAATATAACACAATTTTGTTTACAATTTTTCTAAGATACCTACCTACACATTATACTGAGTATGATAGAGACAGAAAATCGTAACAACGAACCAAAAGCATACAGCTTCTGTAAATGGCCTTGGCACACTTATCAAACATCAATGGATTACATAACTTGGCAAAACACCAAGTCGACGAAACCCCCACACCATCGGGTAGTATGGGGGTGGAATGGGAAACAGTGTGACCGAAGATCTTGATACTTTTTTATTTGCTATCCGTACTTTCGTACCTTCTTAGGCTTTTTTTTTTTCGTCGGGAAATGCTTTGCGCATACCCACTGGTCTATGAGGACGGCCAGTGGGTTATGTGGGACTCTCCCCGCCTACACTAAAGGCGGGGCCTACCCACTAAAACCCGACGGTTTCCACCAGAGCCCAAAGAAACGGAGCCGCGAGTTATTGTCCTGGTTGGACATTCGTCCGCAGCTCCGCCTCAGGCTAGAGGCTCGCTCACGAGCAAGCCTCTCTGGCTTCGAGGGAACCCCCAATCCCCTCCTCCAGTTGTTTTTTATGGAGGTTTTCTCCTCGCGGCCCTGGTAAAACAGGACCCCCGGCCCGCCGTAGCGGGTTACGGTCTGCTCTATGCCGCTGCTCGGTCAGCTCTGCTGATCAGAGAAGTACCGAGAGCGGCCCTCCAAAGAATGGGCCCGGGCAAACGCCCCGCCAGCCCCCACCTGTGGGGGTTTTTAAAGATGTCACCTGCATCGTGGCCCGGGCAAATGCCTCGACGGCCCCCGGCCCAGTCAATTGTGGGTTACGGGTTGCCCGACAGGCCCACCGAGTTGACGAGACCTGCCGCGCAGGTGAGAAGTTAGCCGCCCGCGTGAACAGACCACGCGGACGTTGCCCAGGGTGCACCACGAGGAGGTCCCTCACCATCGCACCCCTCGTACCTTCTTAGGCTGAGTTGAACCACCTTATTATAACTGTGATTTTTTTTAGTTTTTTTGTTGTTTATTAAAGTTAAAGTAAGATGGTGCAACTGCAACCCGGACCAGCCGGCAGACTTAGTATTATAAATGGGAAAGTTTAGTACCTTTTTACGCTTAAATCAGTCTTATTTAGACTTTTTAGAGGTTAGATTAAATTTGGCATGGCGATAGTTTGAGGATAGTTTTAATCCGAATTTTTGAAAGGTAAATTTTTCTGTGACAAACTCAAATTCACGCAGGTAGAGCAGCGGGAAAAAGTAAGACTAACTGAAAATTGTATAGCAAGAGAACTTTTATACTAACTAACTTAAATTCATTACTGATCTATCCAAATCGCTGCAACTCCTGTGTAGCCAGGATTTACAGCTTGGCCGCCAGTAAAGGCCAAGTTTGTCCCGGGGGAAAGTTAAACTGTCATTAGACCCGCAACGAAATTAACCAAAAGAAAATAGGAGGACTAAAATTGTTAGATTAGAATCGAATTACTAAGAATTATATTGAAAACTGAAGGTAATTCACATTTTGATTCTAAATAAGATTAAAAAATAATAAGGTTTTAGGCAAAAAAAAGAACTAAAGTGACCCTGTTAAGACCAAGGGCAAAAAGTATAAGTTTAGTAGGTACAGATGATTTGAATAATAAAGACAGAGCACGAGGAGAACTTTTATTTTTATTATTAAAGAACCCCTAAAACTAATACATAAACTCTTTTGTATAAAAGAAATAACTACTAAAAACATAATAGATACATACGTGCTATCCAATAACCGTTTAGCAATTTAATATCTTAAATATAAAAGATTTATGACACCATTAAACGTCTAATTGATTATAGCCTGACCAGGAACATAAAAACCCTGGCATAGAGGCGCGTCAATTGCATTTGATAGTGCAACACTAAGTACAGTCGTACCTGTGTTAAATTAATAGGCTAACTTTATGTATCAGGATTCAGGATTACGGGCTAATTTGATATTTTCATAAATTAACGAAAAAATATTATTATAGGTAACCTGGTTTAAATAAATTAAATGAAACTATCAATCGAGCTAGTAGGATTTATTTTATTATTCATCAATAGTCAAATTCAGAACTTGAATATTCAACTGCAATGTTTGCTCATGAACGCTTCAAACTCGGTACTTCTTTCCCAATTCCATAAAATTCAACACTTAGAAAGTGACAAAAAAATTTAAAATAGGTAGTTGAAACAAACCACAGCTAATTTTCATAGTGGACTGTACTATACGATAAACATGTCAGTCAATTTGACAACCTTTGTCGGAAACATTATTCAATGAAAATATTGTCCGAACCCTTAGTATTTCTCTTCGACAAATACTTTAACACATTGTGAACCACTTTTCTTTCACGACTATAAAAAGATTTTAGCAATTTAATTCACAAAATCAATTGCGCACATTTAAAATAAAGTTTGTTTACACTTTGACAGCAATAGACTGACATGCAAGGTGACATGACAATGAAGTTTTCAGTTACTGTTGCCATTAAAAGAAATTAGTACCATTAGTTTTCCGCAACATGGCGAGGGTTTTTATGTTCCTGGTCAGGCTATACAGCAAAAAATTTAATCTTTCTATACGTTTTATATTAAACACTAGCTTTCCGCCCGCGGCTTCGCCCGCGTGTAATTTTGTGTCACAGAAAAACTTTATCGCGCGCGTCCCTATTTCAAATACCGGGATAAAAAAAAACTATTCTATGTCCTTTCCCGGGACTCAAACTATCTCTATGCCAAATTTCATCAATCGGTTCAGTGGTTTAGGCGTGAAAGCAATACAGACAGAGTTACTTTCGCATTTATAGATAAACACAAATTCAATAAAACGATCTTCTATTAAGATCCTTCTGTCATACTATACAACTTTTCCGAACAATATCTTACTGCAGTGTTTGTCTATCTTTTGTAGAAAATACTCGTATAAATGTTTATACTTCTCTATTTGAGACAAAATAAATGTTAAAACTGAATTGTTTCATATTATGAGTGTTATTTAATTGTTAAAGAATGTTTAAAGATATTTTACCAACGTCAAAAATGATGAATTTGTTCCTAGTCCTTTTGTAAAAATATTGCCTTTTTCATGTGTGTGCTCGATCCAGAAAAAGTTATTAGTATAGGTGAGTGTGTGTTTGGTTGATAGCCCATCAGATTTTCGTTCTGTATTACAACGTGAATAGATCCAACTTGTTGTGCTTATGACATAGAGTTTTGTGAGGCTATCCGATACTTGTAAAAACTATACCGCGATGTAAAAAGAGATCAACGCCATCTAGTAACCGCGATCAGAACTAAACTCTTTTAATGAGTTCATGTAAATCTCGGAAAGTCCACCCAAGGTGGTCTGACGACCTCATAAAGGTAGCAGGAAGGCGCTGGATGCAGGCCGCTACCAACCGGGCGATGTGGAAATCATTGGGGAAGGCCTATGTTCAGCAGTGGACGTCCTGTCTGAAATGTTGATGATAAAGCTTCAATGGTTTATGTCATTGCTATTGCAAATTTTAAAAGTATATTCTCCTTGGTTCCAGGCCTTTTCATCCTGTTGATGCTGGGTTTCTTCGCTCTGGCAGCCGGTGGATTCATATTGTTCCTACATCCATACGACTTCTTATTCAAACAGGTACGTGGTTAAGTGACACAACTGAATTAACTAAATACTTAAAGCTCGTTTTAAGCTCAGTGATTTTGTCCTGTGATTGGCTAAATATGGAAGTCCAATTCAAGCCATCAATGTTATTGACATGAAGAATACCAGGGTCCTGATCTTCCTCACCTTGGGCCACGGCCTATGCTGAGTGGGGGTTGCAATGGACATCGCTGTTGCTACAGGGTGGAACTGCTAAGTTCACATTTTCTTTTCTTGTAATCTAAAGACATAGGTGCGACACAATGATGCATATTATAAAACGTAACTTAAAAAACTATTACGCCCTTAAACTATTATTAAACAGTTACGACAAAACACAGAACTTTAAAAGTAATCTCAACGATATTCTTCCAGAAAGTGGTCCTCCAAGATGGCGGCGAGATCTTCGAGATGTGGAGAAAGCCAGAAGTGGATCTTTACTGCCGAGTGTTCCTGTTCAACATCACCAACGCTGAAGAGTACATGGCTGGCACAGCAGACAAGATTATTGTGAAGGAAGTCGGCCCTTACGTCTACAAGTGAGTCCATCATCATTAGAATCTACTGCAGGAGCACGTCTATGTCGCTTTATTTCGTGCGTTCGCTTCAGCCGAAAGATGTGCACTGCTGCACAAAGGCCTCCCTCAAGGTTTTCCACAAAGACTGTTCCTGCGCCGCCCGCATCCAGGCACCTCCCGCAACCTTCACCAAATCGTCGGTCCACCTAGTGGGAGGCCTACCCACACTACGACTTCCGGCTCGTGGTCGCCACTCGATAACTTTTCTGCCCCAGCGACCATTAGCTCTACGAGCTATGCGTCCCCGTCCTCTTTAAGTCTTAGGGAGAATTCCTTAAGGAAGTCGTGTAGTCTCTCACTGCAGGAGAACGATTTTCTAGTTTACCACAGGCAAGTGGAGGATTTGGCCTACACTCCCTACATTGGCCAGACGGGTTGAAGAGGCATGATGCTCTCGCATATTAATTGTCCCTTAGTTGCTTTTTACGGCATTTACTGAAGGAGTTTGGTTTGCAGCTCACTCAGAATCGACTAAATTGAATAGATAAATACTTAGTAACTCAATTTTACAACAGTCTCAGTGATACAGTCAGCGGCAAATAGTTCGTGACACCCAAAGTGGCCAATAAGTTCGCAACACGTCTTACGATTGGAATAAGGTTGTGTTTTCAACTTTTTGGCCACATTGGGTGTCACAAACTATATGACGCTGGCTGTACTTCTACGTGTTTGTAAAGACTAGAATGCATCAAGCCAAACGCTATGGCATCTATGGATTTTTTTTTAGGTCATATTTTCCAAAATTATATTTTGTAGACTCTACATAACTTTTTCTCTTTCAGAGAAGCCTTAGAGCATGAAGTGAAGACCTTCAACGAGAATGGAACATTATCAGCAATACCGAGGCATCCTCTGACCTGGGTGGAGGAACTGTCTGAGGGTCATAAAGAAGATGACATCCTGTATCTACCTCACATTGCTTTATTGGTGAGTCTTCTAAAGCCCTATCTCTGAGCACGTAGAATTTTGTGCCTACTGTGTGTAGGTACTTTGTGTTGACTGTGCTACGGGAGCCCGCAGTGAGTGTGCGAGCGCGACAGCAACATAATTACGCGCGAGTGATAAGGATGGGTAGCTCGGGGTCAATGGACAAAATTCTACGTGCTCACCGACCAGACTATATCTCATACTAAATTATCATCAGGTCATTCAGTATCCACTGCAGGAGCACGACCCTCTAATGTACCAGAGACGAATGGAGGATTTGGCCTGCACTCCCCACAATGGCTGGTCAGGTTGAAAAGGCCCGATGTTCACATTATTATTTGTGCCTTACGGCCGAATACTGAAACACTACTCAAATCTGTCACTCAGCTGACGGGCTCCTAAATTTAAGTATCCTTCAATTTTATAGCCTGACCAGGAACATAAAAACCCTGGCATAGAGGCGCTTCAATTGCATTTGATAGTGCAACACTGGGTACAGTCGTACCTGTATTAAATTAATAGGCTAACTTTATGTATCAGGAATTCAGGATTCAGGATTATAGGCTAATTTAATATTTTCATAAATTAACAAAAACATATTATATTATAGGTAAACTGGTTTAAATAAATTAAATGAAACCATCAATCGAGCAAGTAGGATTTTATTATTATTCATCAANCTACAGGGCTATTTCGCTGTATGGACCATATAATGAAATAACTTTCTACATTTGAAATGTTTTATCTACAACTAGCTGACCCGGCGAACTTCGTACCGCCTTAGCGTAGAGATTTTCTTAATATTTTTTTCCGTAAGAACCATCCTTGGACTTCCACAAACATTTAAAAAAAAGAATTATCGAAATCGGTTCAGCCGTTCACACGTGATGCCGTGACAACGCGAAACGGGTTTCATTTTTATATATATAGATAAGAGTCAGAGATGTGAAAACAATAAAATACTGTATCTTTTTCTTAACTGTTTTATTTAAATTTTAAGAATGTAATGGCACAAAACAATCAGTCTGTTTTTTAATTATAATAATCAGTCCGACAAAAATATTCTTCTTTATTAGTTTATCTCTCTTCTTCATTAATTTTAAGAAGCATACACTTTCTCTTTAAAAGTTTAACAATCAGCCTGCCATAGTTTTTCTTCTTCATTAGTTTCAACAATCAATCTGCTAAATTCAGTATTAGTTTTTAAACTAAATAAAAATAATCATCATGTTACTTTTCCTTTTTTGTTCATTTATAGTTACATAAATCAGTCTGCTATACTTTCTCTTTATTGCTTGCAACAATCACTTCCTTATACTTTGTCCTGAGGTTTGCCATTTATTATTTTTAAACACGTAAACAACAAGTGCCGTGTGGCCCCCCCACACGGCCATAAAGGATACTCTTCCCCACCGCCAACAGGAGGCGTGTCGTAATAGGCGACAAAATCCCTGCAGCACCGGACGGGCAGCAGCGTCTGCGTGCGAAACCTCACAAAAAAAAACTGCGATCGCTAACCCGCCTGCCAAGCGTGGCGATTAAGGCAAAAAAATTGACAAATCAACAACTCTTGGAAATGCTGCTATGCGATGTCCCCTTAATCCTCAGAAATAGGCATGTTTATGTAAAGCGATTTCATAGCAGCTATTTTTGTTGTTACTTCGTGCACTATACGATGCACTGGCTGTTAGATGTGGAAGATATCACCTAGTACACGTTCATAACTTCCCGTTGCGTAGAACAGTAGGGTTATAATAAGTTTTTGGTCCACTGGTTGTATGGCATTTGGTGAGGGGTTTCAAAGAGCTTCCAAATTATGAATTCAGAAACAACACCGTTTCTTTAGAGACGCGGAACCTCGCTCGGAATTGCATGTCATTATAATAATATTTTTCAATAGCGTTCAGCCTTATTGCGTTCCTGCGATTAGATCTAGGTATTTCCTCGAGGCTCGAAAGAAATGATAACGATGACACACATTATTTACCACTATTTAGGTCGATTTAGGTATAAGAATAGGATTTAAGATACCGCGTAAGCACTCTCAAATTTAACAGCTGCTTAAGACGATTTGACAGTTGTTTCAGTAATGCTTAGCGTTGAATGGCGTTTCAGTATGCGAAAATTCATTTATGTGGCGTTTGAGTGCAACTTAATTTGAGAGGTGCTTAAAATTTGAGAACTGCTCAGATATTGTTTTGAGTATGCGAAATGTAAGTTTAGGAGCTGCTTAACTATTTGAGAAGCCGTCAAATATTTAAATGGCGTTTCAGTATTCGGCTGTTAGTCGCTATTTACGACATCCACGGGAAAAGTGTATAACCCTAACCACACGGATGCTACGTAAAAGAAGCCTAACAAACCCCTGACAAAGTTCGTACGCCTATGCTCATCAGAAATAATATAAGATTCTAGTGGTGGCTTTTTTTTTTCAAATCGGTGCTTTAGTTTCGGAGCCCATTCAATACTAACAAACTATTTTAATCTTTCGTCTTTATAATAGTTTAGATTTACGAGTATTATTACAATAATAATTATGTAGAGACACGTAGAAACTGACTGAAGATATAGACCTACTTATAATAAGTACCTACTTTTAACATTATTTCTCATTGCAATCAAAGATAACTTTTCTCAAATTAAGGTGTAAATTTAATTGGTCTTATTAGTTTTCAAGATTGTCAAAGTATGTTGGCATGGGCTAAGTAAGATATAAGTAAGATTATTATATAGGGGCATTTTCGTTAAAAAAAATACTCGATCTATTGGTTTTCAAGATTGCCCAAGTATCTTAGCATGGGTTAAACAGGTCAAAACCAGTTGGCAAGTGTAACCTTTAGGGTAATCAAATAAAATTCTAATTCCTTTCCTAAAGCCACATTTCTGCATTTCGACACAACACATATCCGGAGTGGAACTGCATGTAGAAGGCTCTAGTGCGTTTCCTAATGTTTAAGTAGCTAGTGATGTGCGAGGTGTCGATAAAACCGGATATTGTCGATGGAAAGCTAGCAGACCACCGATTTTTAGTTGGCCGATAGTTGGGTCGGGCTGTTGATCAGTATGGAGATGTATGAAAGTGCGCACATTACACCGATTTGGTATCGGCCGATTCTTCGTACAAATTAGAATCGGGCCCAACTATCGGCCAACTAAAAGTCGGTGGTCTGCGCCTAGGCTAAACCGTATTTTAGAGAATCAATCATTAGGTCTGAAGCTATTGTTTAGGTAGCACAATACTATAATAAATTACGATAACATGAAGTTTTCATATTAAATCAATAAAAAAATTATGTAGTATTTAACTAATCTGGTTTATGAGCTCACTACAATAGCATGATATATCTTAGGTACATGCATTATGTAGAATAAAATACGTTAAAATGTTTTCTACCGATCCAAAGAGAGAAATCTCATTCAAATTAGACATTGTACCATCCTAGACTGTATCTCACTTAACATCAGATGTGATTGCACTAAATAAACTGCTTTATTCTGAATAAATAAAAACATTAAATGCAGTCGTGGTCCAGTAGTTAAAGAGTTAAAACTCCACTGCTGAACATAGGCCTCCCGCAATAATTTCCGTATAGCTAGATAATCTAGTGTAGTACATAATTAACGGAAAATAAAGGTAATTATGTCTAATTTATCATCCGATTAAGACATATTAAATCAGACATTAATCTAAAGTCGTTTACATCTAAACCGGAACAACGGAAACCGAAAATATATCGATATGTCCCGGTTGCTTGCACATCACTACGACAGCTCCCAGTTTTGTAAGACATTGATACTCGCTATTCAGATAGATTGCTATTGAGCAAGTTTATTCACTACTCAGTTGATTTTATGGTTAACAGTTAACTGACAGGCGTGTAATGTCAGATGACGGCACATTTAATGCACTTACGCCCGTATTCACAAACGATGCTTGCTTAAGTGAAGCAGCAAATCGAACGCACAGCGTTGAATAGAGCTCGTGATTTTTTTTATGCTAGACAATTGCAGGTATTTGACCACAATCGCACCTTTCGATTGGTTCGTGTGTCACCCTGTGCGTCCACGCGCACTGTGAAACCTCATAGTAATGTTTGTGAATACGGATATAATGCGATATTTTTAACAAATGATACTTAATTTGACAGGAGTGTTGTATACTATTAAGTCGAATTGCTCAATTGAGGAATTATTTATTAAAGCTTTAAATACAACTTGAATGCCCTTTGAAATAATTACTTATGGTTAAGTACCTATACGGCCGCAGTGAGTGTGCGAGCGCGACAGCAACATAATTACGCGCAAGCGATAAGGATGGGTAACTTGGGGTCATTGGACGAAATTCTACGTGCTCAGCGACCGGACTTTAGACTTAAAATGTTGGTAAAGTAATTTTAGTACAGTCTAGCGCTCAACTCAGTCACTGCCTGAGTCATGGAAGCGGCAAGGGTGTGTTTGGGAGGTCAAACGTCAGCGAGACTCAGATATGCTTCAGATTTTTATGCTCTGTCATGTCATTGTCATATGTCAATGTCACCCCTCCCGTGCCGCTCCCATGCCTCAGGCACTGACTAAGTTACGAGCTATACCTGAACCTATTGCCCGCGGCTTGATCAACTGAGGAATTGTTGTGAGTAATAAATATTTCGTGTTTATGTAATGAGGGCTATCGTTTTAGCGCTCACCAGTTAGCGCCACTGTAGAGTAAGGTCCTGTCACTTGCTAGTAGCGAAGACAGTGGCGCCAACTTGTGAGCGCTAAAGTGGTAGGAGGACTATCGCATTTGCACTCATCAAGATGGCGCCACTGTAGAGTAAGGTCCTGTCAATCGCCAGGGGTGCCAACCAGGGCCGTAGCTAGGGTCGAATTTGAGGTAGGGCAGCATTAGTTACAGGTAGGGCGGAAGTAAAAAAATTATCATAATTGATCTGCCGTCGAAACACGGGCTCCTAAATCAATCACCATGTATATCACCATCATGTGAATAGTTATTCGTAGAC